GATTTTGATAAAATCTGGGATAAAATCCATGGGATTTTGGATTTGGATAAAATCCATGGGATTTTGGTGATAAAATCCATGGGATTTTGGTGATAAAATCTGGGATAAAATCCAGGGGATTTTGGTGATAAAATCTGGGATAAAATCCATGGGATTTTGATGATAAAATCCAGGGGATTTTGGGGATAAAATCTGGGATAAAATCCAGGGGATTTTGGTGATAAAATCTGGGATAAAATCCAAGCCTGGCATGGGATAAAATCTGCTTTATTGGAGTCGGAATTCACCGGCATGGAAGGAATTCCCGGTATTTTCCAGCTGGATCCGGGTATTTTTCCATCCAATCCCGACATTTCCTCGGTGATTGCTCCTTGGGGATCTTTTCCTTGGCTTCCCTGCCTGGAAAAATATTCCAGGATTTGATTCCCAAAAGGACTGGAAGCCAAAGGAAAAGTCCTTCCTGCTTTTCCTTTTCTGGGAATTCAGGGAATTGCCTTGGAATTTCCTCAGGGAATTTTTGGGATTTGCTTCCTTAGGATCCAATCCAATTTCTGGGGTTGAATCCACCTGAACTGAAGGTTTTCCTGGGAATTCCAGAGGGAGGATTTGCAGCTCCCTCTGTTGGAATTTTCCTGCTCTCTGGGATTGTTGAGCTGTGGAATTCTTGGAATGTTCTTCCTCCTGCTCCAGGATCCCTGGGAGGATCCTGTTGGTCCCAATCCATGGGATTTGGAACATCAGCTTGGAATTGCTCCTGCTTTTACCAGGGGAACTTTTCCAGCTTGGAATTTTCCAGCTTGGAATTGTTCCTGCCTTTCCCAGGGAAACTTTTCCAGCTTGGAATTGCTCCTACTTCTTTTCCAGCTTGGAATTGTTCCTGCCTCTTTCCCAGAGTGATTTTTTGGGTGTTTTTGAGTGGGTTTGGAGGGTTTTATGTGGAGTTTTGGGTGGTTTTGAGTGGGTTTGGAGGGTTTTATGTGGGGTTTTGGGTGTTTTTGAGTGGATTTTTTGGTTTTCTGTGATTTTCTGTGTGTTTTTGAGTGGGTTTGGAGGGTTTTAAGTGGGGTTTTGGTTCTTTTTGAGTGGGTTTGGAGGGTTTTGAGTGGATTTTTGAGTGGGTTTGGAGGGTTTTATGTGATTTTTTGGTGGTTTTTGAGTCGGTTTGGGTGTTTTTGAGTGGGTTTTGAGTATTTTTTGTTGTTTTTGAGTGGGTTTGGAGGGTTTTATTTTGATTTTTTGGGTGTTTTTGAGTGGGTTTGGAGGGTTTTGTGTGGATTTTTGAGTGGGTTTGGAGGGTTTTCTGTGATTTTTTGGGTGGTTTTTGAGTGGGTTTGAGGGTTTTGAGTGGGTTTTGAGTGTTTGATTTTTGGGGTGTTTTTGAGTGGGTTTGGAGGCTTTTATGTGATTTTTTTGAGTGTTTTGAGTGGATTTGGAGGGTTTTATGTGATTTTTGAGTGGTTTTGAGTGGGTTTGGATGTTTGTTAGTGGGTTTGGAAGGTTTTGTTTGGAATTTTGGGTGTTTTGAGTGGGTTTGGAGGTTTTTCTGTGATTTTTTGGGTGTTTTTGAGTGGGTTTTGAGGATTTTATGTGGAGTTTTGGGTTTTTTTGAGTGGGTTTTCGGGTGTTTTTGAGTGGGTTTGGAGGGTTTTATGTAATTTTTGAGTGGGTGGGTTTGAGTGGGTTTGGAGGATTTTATGTGGGTTTTGGGTGATTTTCAGTGGGTTTTTAGGATTTTATGTGAGTTTTTGGGTGTTTTTGAGTGGGTTTGGAGGGTTTTGAGTGGGGTTTTGAGTGGGTTTTTAGGATTTTATGTGGGTTTAGAGTGGGTTTGGAGGGTTTTCTGTGGGTTTTGAGTGGGTTTGGAGGGTTTTCTGTTATTTTTTGGGTGTTTTTGTGTGGATTTGAAGGGGTTTTTTTGGGGTTTTGGGTGTTTTTGAGTGAGTTTTGAGGATTTTATGTGAATTTTTGAGTGGGTTTGGAGGGTTTTCTGTGATTTTTTGGGTGTTTTTGAGTGGGTTTGGAGGCTTTTATGTGGTTTGAGTGGTTTTGAGTGGGTTTGGGTTGTTTTGAGTGGGTTTGGGTGGTTTTGAGTGGGTTTTTGGGTGTTTTTGAGTGGGTTTGGAGGGTTTTGAGTGGGTTTGGAGGGTTTTGTGTGATTTTTTTGAGTGGTTTTGAGTGGGTTTGGAGGGTTTTATGTGGGTTTTTGGGTGTTTTTGAGTGGGTTTGGAGGGTTTTGTGTGATTTTTTGGGTGTTTTTGAGTGGGTTTGGAGAGTTTTATGTGGATTTTTTGAGTGTTTTTGAGTGGGTTTGGAGAGTTTTCTGTGAATTTTTGGTTGAGTTTGGAGGGTTTTCTGTGGGGTTTTGAGTGGGTTTGGAGGGCTTCATGTGATTTTTTGGGTGGTTTTGAGTGGGTTTTGAGGGTTTTGGGTGGGTTTTTGAGTGGGTTTCAGTGGGTTTGGAGGGTTTTATTTTTGATTTTTGGGTGTTTTTGAGTGGGTTTGGAGTGGATTTTATGTGATTTTTTGGTTGGTTTTGAGTGGGTTTGGAGAGTTTTATGTGGTTTTTGAGTGGGTTTGGAGGGTTTTGTGTGGATTTTTGAGTGGGTTTGGAGGGTTTTGTGTGGGTTTTTGGGTGGTTTTGAGTGGGTTTGGGGGGGTTTATGTGGGTTTTTTGAGTGGGTTTAAGTGGGTTTGGGTGGTTTTGAGTGGGTTTGGAGGGTTTTATGTCATTTTTGAGTGGGTTTGGAGGGTTTTATGTGGGGTTTTGGGTGGTTTCGAGTGGGTTTGGAGGGTTTTATGTGATTTTTTGGGTGTTTTTGAGTGGGTTTCGAGGGTTTTCTGTGGATTTTTGGATGTTTTTGAGTGGGTTTGGAGGTTTTTATGTCATTTTTTGGGTGGTTTTGGGTGGGTTTGGAGGGTTTTCTGTGGGGTTTTGGGTGTTTTTGAGTGGGTTTTGAGGATTTTATGTGGGATTTGAGTGAGTTTGGAGAGTTTTGAGTGGGTTATATGTGATTTTTGGCATGTTTTTGAGTGGGTTTCGAGGGTTTTATGTGGGTTTTGAGTGGGTTTGGAGGGTTTGATGTGATTTTTTGGTTGTTTTTGAGTGGATGTGTAAGGTTTTATGTGGGTTTTTGGGTGGTTTTGAGTGGGTTTTATGTGATTTTTGAGTGGGTGTGGAGGGTTTTCTGTGATTTTTTGGGTGTGTTTGGAGGGTTTTCTGTGATTTTTTGGGTGTTTTTGAGTGGGTTTTTAGGATTTTATGTGGAGTTTTGGGTTTTTTTGAGTGGGTTTGGAGGGTTTTATGTCAATTTTTCTGTGGTTTTGAGTGGGTTTGGAGGGTTTTTGGGTGATTTTTTGGATGTTTTTGAGTGGGTTTAATGTGATTTTTTGGGTGTTTTTGAGTGGGTTTGAGGGTTTTATGTGGGGTTTTGAGTGGGTTTGGAGGGGTTTTTTTTGGTTTTTGGGTATTTTTAGTGGGTTTGGAGGGTTTGATGTGGGTTTGAGTGGGTTTGGAGGGTTTTATGTGGGTTTTTTGTGTTTTTGAGTGGGTTTGGAGGGTTTTGTGTGGGGTTTTGAGTGGTTTTGAGTGGGTTTTTAGGATTTTCTGTGATTTTTTGGGTGTTTTTGAGTGGGTTTGGAGGGTTTTGAGTGGTTTTGAGTGGGTTTGGAGGATTTTCTGTGATTTTTTGGGTGTTTTTGAGTGGTTTTGGAGGGTTTTGAGTGGGTTTGGAGGGTTTTATGTGATTTTTGGGTGGTTTTGAGTGGGCTTTGAGGATTTTGGGTGTTTTTGAGTGGGTTTTGAGGGTTTTATGTGGTTTTTGAGTGGGTTTGGTGGGTTTTATGTGATTTTTTGGGTGTTTTTGAGTGGGTTTGGAGGGTTTTGAGTGGGGTTTTTGGTGGTTTTGAGTGGGTTTGGAGGGTTTTCTGTGATATTTTGGGTGTTTTTGAGTGGGTTTGGAGGGTTTTATGTGGATTTTTGGGTGTTTTTGAGTGGGTTTGGAGGGTTTTCTGTGATTTTTTGGGTGTTTTTGAGTGGGTTTGGAGGGTTTTCTGTGGTTTTTTGAGTGGGTTTGGAGGGTTTTATGTGTTTTGAGTGGGTTTGGAGGGTTTTCTGTGATTTTTGGGTTTGAGTGGGTTTGGAGGGTTTTATGTGGATTTTTTTGGGTGGTTTTGAGTGGGTTTGGAGGGTTTTATGTGAGTTTTTGGGTGTTTTTGAGTGGGTTTTGTGGGTTTTATGTTGGTTTTTGAGTGGGTTTGGAGGGTTCTGTGTGGGGTTTTTAGTGGGTTTGGAGTGTTTAATGTTATTTTTTTAATTGTTTTGAGTGGGTTTGGAGGGTTTTATGTCTTTTTTTGGGTTTTTTTGAGTGGGTTTGGAGGGTTTTGAGTGGGTTTTTGGAGGGTTTTGAGTGGGTTTTATGTGGGTTTTTAGTGGGTTTTTGGGTGTTTTTGAGTGGGTTTGGAGGGTTTTATGTGGGATTTTATGTGAGTTTTTGAGTGGGTTTGGGAGGGTTTTCTGTGATTTTTTTGTGTGTTTTTTAGTGGGTTTGGAGGATTTTGTGTGATTTTTGAGTGGGTTTGGAGGGTTTTATATGGGGTATGATCTCCCAGCTCTTCCAGCCCTCTTGATCCTGCAATTCCATGAATTTGGGAAGCACACACAGGATTTTGGGAGTCCCAGGTTGGATTCCATGATCTCCCAGCTCTCCCAACCCTCTTGATCCCACAATTCCCTGATTTTTGGGAGCACACAAAGCCCTGCAGAGTCCCAGGTTGGACTCCATGATCTCCCAGCTCTTCCAACCCTGTTCCTCCTTTAATTCCCTGATTTTGGGAAGCAGAGTCCCAGATTGGATTCCATGATCTCCCAACTCTTCCAACCCTCTTCATCCTTTAATTCCCTGATTTTGGGAATCAGAGTCCCAGATTGCTCTCTGTGATCTCCCAGCTCTTCCAACCTCTTTCCTCAATTCCATGATCATTTGGGACGCATCCTCTTAATTCCCTGATTTTGGGAAGCAGAGTCCCAGGTTGGATTCCATGATCTCCCAACTCTTCCAACCCTCTTCATCCTTTAATTCCCTGATTTTGGGAAGCAGAGTCCCAGGTTGGATTCCATGATCTCCCAACTCTTCCAACCCTCTTCATCCTTTAATTCCCTGATTTTGGGAATCAGCGTCCCAGGTTGCTCTCTGTGATCTCTCAGCTCTTCCAACCCTCTTGATCCTGCAATTCCATGAATTTGGGAAGCACACACAGGATTTTGGGAGTCCCAGGTTGCATCCCCGTTCATCCTTTAATTCCCTGATTTTGGGAAGCAGAGTCCCAAGTTGGACTCTGTGATCTCCCAGCTTTTCCAACCCTCTTGATCCTGCAATTCCCTGATTTTGGGAAGCAGAGTCCCAGGTTGCACTCTGCGATCTCCCATCCCTGTTCCTTCTTTAATTCCCTGATTTTGGGAAGCAGAGTCCCAAGTTGGATTCTGGGATCTCCCAGCTCTTCCAGCCCTCTTGATCCCACAATTCCATGATTTTTGGGAGCACACAAAGCCCAGCAGAGTCCCAGGTTGCTCTCTGTCATCTCCCTGCTCTTTTCCATCCCCATTCATCCTTTAATTCCCTGATTTTGGGAAGCAGAGTCCCAGGTTGAACTCCATGATCTCCCAGCTCTTCCAGCCTTGTTCCTCCTTTAATTCCCTGATTTCGGGAAGCAGAGTCCCAGATTGTTCTCTGGGATCTCCCAGCTCTTCCAACCCCCTTGATCCCACAATTCCATGATTTTGGGAAGTACCTGCAGCCCAACAGAGTCCCAGGTTGCTCTCTGTGAACTCCCAACTATTCCAGCCTTGTTCATCCTTTAATTCCCTGATTTTGGGAAGCAGAGTCCCAGGTTGGATTCCATGATCTCCCAGCTCTTCCAACCCTCTTGATCCCACAATTCCATGATTTTGGGAAGCAGAGTCCCAGGTTGCACTCTGTGATCTCCCAGCTCTCCCATCCCTCTTCATCCTTTAATTCCCTGATTTTGGGAAGCAGAGTCCCAGGTTGCACTCTGTGATCTCCCAACTCTTCCAACCCTGTTCCTCCTTTAATTCCCTGATTTTGGGAAGCAGAGTCCCAGGTTGCTCTCTGTGATCTCCCATCCTGGTTCCTCCTTTAATTCCCTGATTTCGGGAAGCAGAGTCCCAGGTTGCTCTCTGGGATCTCCCATCCCTGGTTCCTCCCTGAATTCCCTGATTTCGGGAAGCAGAGTCCCAGGTTGCTCTCTGGGATCTCCCATCCCGGTTCCTCCCTGAATTCCCTGATTTCGGGAATGCCTCAGCCCAGCAGAGGGCACTGGTGCCTCTCCCACGGCCCCGATCCCACCCACCTTTTCCCGGTTGTGGATGGTCCCGCGGATCGGCGTCATTTACAGCCGTCATTTGCAGCCATCATTTATTTATTTACAGCCGTCATTTACAGCCATCATTCATTTACAGCCGTCATTTACAGCCATCACCACCCGCGCCGCTATCGGAGCCGCCACGCTCCTTCCCGGGGCAGATAAAAACCCCGCTAATACCTAATTAGCCATTTCTAATTAGCCGGGCAAATTGGATTGTCTTAAATAACCGGGAGAAGCCGAGCCAGGCAAAGAGAGAGAGATCAATCCCTCTCCACATTCCTGCTGGAATTCCAACCCACCCCCTGTAATTGCCACTCTTAATCAATTTTCCCAAATTCCATCAGAGCTTTTATTCCTTGGGCTGGCAAATTTCTCCTTTCTCCTTCTTTTATTATTATTTTTTTTTAATGTATGTGTGTTTTTTTTCCTTTTAACTGGCAAAAAATTCATCAGAGGAGGGGAAAATAAATAAAAAAAAGAGGTGGAACATCTGCCACAATTTTCCCTCCTCCCCTCGTGTGTGTGGGAGAGGGAGAGGGGTCAAGCTGTGCCACTTCTATTGCTCAGCAGATAAGGGGGTCATAAAAAGAAAATTGAATTACTAATGATGGCCAGGAAGAGAGTCCATAAAAACCTCGGGATGGGGAAGGGAAGGGGGGGAGGAGGAGGAGGAAAAAAAAAAAAAGGGAATCAGTTTTGTTCCCTGGATGAGGTGAGGGAGGGTTTGGTTTGGTCTGGTTGTTATGGGGGGTTCGTTGGGAGGAGGGTAAATGGGGGGTGAGGGGGAGGTGGGAAAATGAGGCTGGAGGTGGGAAAATGAGGTGGGAAGATGAGGCTGGAGGTGGGAAAATGAGGGAAGATGAAGATGAAGGTGGAGGTGGGAAGATGAGGCTGGAGGTGGGAAGAAGAGGGAAGATGAAGGTGGAGGTGGGAAAATGAGGCTGGAGGTGGGAAATGAGGCTAGAGGTGGGAAAATGAGGCTGGAGGTGGGAGATGAGGTTGGAGGTGGGAAAATGAGGGTAGAAGTGGGAAGATGGGGCTGGAGATGGGGGAAGATGAGGCTGGAGGTGGGAAAATAAGGTGGGAGATGGGAAGGTGAGGCTGGAGGTGGGAAAATAAGGTTGGAGGATGAAAGGTGAGGCTGGAGGTGGGAAGATGAGGGAAGATGAAGGTGGAGGTGGGAAAATGAGGCTGGAGGTGGGAGATGGGGCTGGAAGTGGGAAAATGAGGGTAGAAGTGGGAAGAGGAGGCTGGAGGTGGGAAAATGAGGGAAGATGAAGGTGGAGGTGGGAAAATGAGGCTGGAGCTGGGAGTTGAGGTTGGAGGTGGGAAGATGAGGCTGGAGGTGGAAAGATGAGGGAAGATGAGGTGGGAAGGTGAGGCTGGAGGTGGGAAGAGGAGGCTGGAGGTGGGTGAGGATGAGGCTGGAGGTGGGGGGAGATGAGACTGGAGGAAGTGGGAGATGAGGCTGGAAGTGCGGGGAGATGAGACTGGAGGAGGTGGGAGATGGGGCTGGAGGGTGAAAGATGAGGCTGGAGGTGGGGGAAGATTGGGTGGAAGGTGGGAAAATGAGGCTGGAGGTGGGAAGAGGAGGCTGGAGATGGGGAAATGAGTCTGGAGCTGGAAGGTGGGGCTGGAGGTGGGGGAAGATGGGGCTGGAGGTGGGAAGTTGAGGGTGGAGGTGGGAAAATGAAGCTGGAGGTGGGAAGATGGGGCTGGAAGTGGGAAGGTGAGGCTGGAGGTGGGAAAATAAGGTGGGAGATGGGAAAGTGAGGCTGGAGGGTGAAAGGTGAGGCTGGAGGTGGGAAGAGGAGGCTGGAGGTGGGAAAATGAGGCTGGAGGTGGGAAAATGAAACTGGAGATGGGAGATGAGGTTGGAGGTGGGAGATGGGGCTGGAGGTGGGGGAAGGTGAGGCTGGAGGTGGGAAGGTGAGGCTGGAGATGGGGAAATGAGTCTGGAGGTGGAAGGTGAGAGTGGAGGTGGGAAAATGAGGCTGGAGGTGGGAAAATGAGGCTGGAGATGGGAAGAGGAGGCTGGAGGTGGAAAGATGAGGGAAGATGAGGTGGGAAGGTGAGGCTGGAGGTGGGAAAATGAGGGAAGATGAAGGTGGAGGTGGGAAAATGAGGCTGGAGGTGGGAAGAGGAGGCTGGAGGTGGGAAAATGAGGGGGGAGGTGGGAAAATGAGGTGGGAAGATGAGGCTGGAGGTGGGAAGAGGAGGAAAGGTGAGGCTGGAGGTGGGAAAATGAGGGAAGATAAGGGTGGAGGTGGGAAAATGGGGCTGGAGGTAGGGGGGAGATGAGACTGGAGGTGGGAAAATGAGGGTAGAAGTGGGAAGATGGGGCTGGAGGTGGGGGAAGATAGGGTTGAAGGTGGGAAAGTGAGGCTGGAGGTGGAAGATGAGGCTGGAGGTGGGAAATGAGGCTGGAGGTGGGAAAATGAGGGTAGAAGTGGGAAGATGAGGCTGGAGGTGGGTGAGGATGAGGCTGGAGGTGGAAGGTGAGGCTGGAGGTGGGAGATGAGATGGGAGGTGGGAGATGAGATGGGAGGTGGGAAGAGGAGGGTGGAGGTGGGAAAATGAGGGAAGATGAAGGTGGAGGTGGGAAAATGAAGCTGGAGGTGGGAAGATGGGGCTGGAAGTGGGAAGGTGAGGCTGGAGGTGGGAAAATAAGGTGGGAGATGGGAAGGTGAGGCTGGAGGTGGGAAAATAAGGTTGGAGGATGAAAGGTGAGGCTGGAGGTGGGAGATGAGGCTGGAAGTGGGAAAATGAGGTGGGAAGAGGAGGCTGGAGGTGGGAAAATGAGGTGGGAAGAGGAGGCTGGAGGTGGGAAAATGAGGGAAGATGAAGGTGGAGGTGGGAAGGTGAGGCTGGAGGTGGGAGATGAGGCTGGAGGTGGGAGATGAGGCTGGAGGTGGGGGAAGATGGGGCTGGAGGTGGGAAAGTGAGGCTGGAGGTGGGAAGATGGGGCTGGAGGTGGGAAGGTGAGGCTGGAGCTGGGAGTTGAGGTTGGAGGTGGGAAAATGAAGCTGGAGGTGGGAAAATAAGGTTGGAGGATGAAAGGTGAGGCTGGAGGTGGAGGAAGAGGAGGCTGGAGGTGGGAAAAGCCAGCAGGGTGGAGGCTGGATGGGGTTTCTTTGGAAGGGAGGAGAAGGGATTGAATGGAATTCCAAAGGGTGGCTCCCCCTGGGGGATCAGGGAATGTCACAAATTGCCCATTCCAGGAGGGAATTCCCAGGGATTGCTTGGGCTGGAAGCAGGAGGAAGGTTCTCCAGGGATTTTTTCCTTCTTGATGTGTCTTAATTCCTTAAATATTTTGGGAATGTTTGGGTGGGATGTTCCTGGGAGCAAAGTTGGAACTCAACCTCTGGAATTCCAAGCTTGGCTCCCTTTTCCTGCTTTTGGATTTATTCCTGGGAGAGGTGGGTGGTTCATCCTTCTGATTTAGAATCCTGGAATGGTTTGGGTTGGAAGGGAGCTGAAAGATCCTGGAATTCCACCCAGGGACACCTTCCCACTATCCCAGGTTGCTCCAAACCCTGTCCAGGTTGTCCTTGAACATTCCAGGGATGGGGGGCAACCACAGCTTCTCTGGGAATTCAATTCCAGTCCCTCCCCACTCTCCCAGGGAGGAATTTCTTCCCAATATCCATCTAAACCTTCCCTCCTTCACCTGAAACATTCCCAACGGGATCAAACCCCATTTCCCACCCTTCTTCCCCACAGAACAAAAAAAATTCCACCAGGACTCCCAAACCCTTCAGAAACTTCCCATGACTCTTTCAGTGCTGGAATCACCCCCCTTCCCCCAAAAAAATTCCCAAACCCTTCATTCCTGTCCACAACACGAGTGACGTCATGGGATGAGCAAGCGGCTCCCGCTCGGAAAATTCCACCGGAAAAGTTGGAAAACACAACTGGCAAAGTTGGGAGAAGGAGCCGCTTTGCCTGACCCTTGGAGGGAGTAAATTGGGAGCAAGTGAGGAGTAAATGATGGGAGGCATCCACATGCTCAGCTGCTGATGATTTTATGGGCACCCAGCGCTCCGATCCCTCCCTCAGGAATCTCAGCCCTGGATTTCCCCCCCCCCTCATCTATTTTTTCCTTCCCTGGCACTGAAACTTTTCCAGTGGGGTGATTCCCGCTGGGAAAACGCTTCCAGGGGGTTATTTTGGTTTGGGGTTGAGTTTGCTGGTTTGGGGTTTGTTTCTCTTTGGAGTGGTGATTTCCACGAGGTGGGAATCTGGGAATCTCGGATCTGAGATGGATCCAGGCCTCGGATCGCATTCCCTGCGGGTTTATCCAGGAATCCCTTCCCTCAGGGAAACTCTTGGATGGTGCCCAGCTCAGGACCCTTGGAATTGATCTCATCTCTTATTTTCCACCTCGTTAATCCCGTTTTCCTGAGATTTTTCCCTCAGTTTTCCCTCGCTCGGCCCAACATTCCCGCACCGCTCCGAGCGCCCGTCAATGCTATCACACCCAGGTCTGATTTTCCTGAAATCATCCCATTTCCAGGTCTCTTTCCTGAAATCATCCCATTTCAGGTCTCTTTCCTGAAATCATCCCATTTCAGGCTCTTTCCTGAAATCATCCATTTCAGGTCTCTCGGAAATCATCCCATTTCCAGGTCTCTTTCCAAATCATCCCATTTCAGGTCTCTTTCCTGAAATCATCCCATTTCAGGTCTCTTCCCTGAAATCATCCATTTCAGGTCTCTCTTCCCTCTGGCTCATCCTTGGGAACCAGGAGTGGACGTGGCTGCCGAGGTGGCTCCTCATTCCTCGGAGTTGGGAGAAGGAGCCGCTTTGCCTGACCCTGGGAGGGAGTAAATTGGGAGCAAGTGAGGAGTAAATGATGGGAGGCATCCACATGCTCAGCTGCTGATGATTTTATGAGCACCCAGCGCTCCGATCCCTCTCTCAGGAATCTCAGCCCTGGATTTCCACCCCCTCCCCATTCCATCTATTTTTTCCTTCCCTGGCACTGAAACTTTTCCATGGGGTGATTCCCGCTGGGAAAACGCTTCCAGGGGGTTATTTTGGTTTGGGGTTGGTTTGCTGGTTTGGGGTTTGTTTCTCTTTGGAGTGGTGATTTCCACGAGGTGGGAATCTCGGATCTGAGATGGATCCAGGCCTTGGATCGCATTCCCTGCGGGTTTATCCGGGAATCCCTTCCCTCAGGGAAACTCTTGGATCATGCCCAGCTCAGGACCCTTTGGAATTGATCTCATCTCTTCTTTTCCACCTCGTTAATCCCGTTTTCCTGAGATTTTTCCCTCACTTTTCCCTCACTCAGCCCAACATTCCCACCCCGCTCCGGGCGCCCGTCAATGCTATCACACCCAGTTTGATTTTCCCTGGAAATCATCCCATTTCCAGGTCTCTCTTCCCTGGAAATCATCCCATTTCCAGGTCTCTTTTCCCTGGAAATCATCCCATTTCCAGGTCTCTTTTCCCTGGAAATCATCCCATTTCCAGGTCTCTTTTCCCTGGAAATCATCCCATTTCCAGGTCTCTTTTCCCTGGAAATCATCCCATTTCCAGGTCTCTCTTCCCTCTGGCTCATCCTTGGGAACCAGGAGTGGACGTGGCCACCGAGGTGGCTCCTCATTCCTCGGAGTTGGGAGAAGGAGCCGCTTTGCCTGACCCTTGGAGGGAGTAAATTGGGAGCAAGTGAGGAGTAAATGATGGGAGGCATCCACATGCTCAGCTGCTGATGATTTTATGGGCACCCAGCGCTCCGATCCCTCCCTCGGGAATCTCAACCCTGGATTTCCCCCCCACTCCAAATATTTTTTCCTTCCCTGGCACTGAAACTTTTCCATGGGGTGATTCCCGCTGGGAAAACGCTTCCAGGGGGTTATTTTGGTTTGGGGTTGGTTTGCTGGTTTGGGGTTTGTTTCTCTTTGGAGTGGTGATTTCCACGAGGTGGGAAATCTCGGATCTGAGATGGATCCAGGCCTCGGATCGCATTCCCTGCAGGTTTATCCGGGAATCCCTTCCCTCAGGGAAACTCTTGGATCATGCCCAGCTCAGGACCCCTTGGAATTGATCTCATCTCTTCTTTTCCGCCTCGTTAATCCCGTTTTCCTGAGATTTTTCCCTCACTTTTCCCTCGCTCGGCCCAACATTCCCACCCCGCTCCGGGCACCCGTCAATGCTATCACACCCAGGTCTCTTTTCCCTGGAAATCATCCCATTTCTAGGTCTCTTTTCCCTGGAAATCATCCCATTTCCAGGTCTCTTTTCCCTGGAAATCATCCCATTTCCAGGTCTCTTTTCCCTCTGGCTCATCCTTGGGAACCAGGAGTGGACGTGGCCGCCGAGGTGGCTCCTCATTCCTCGGAGTTGGGAGAAGGAGCCGCTTTGCCTGACCCTGGGAGGGAGTAAATTGGGAGCAAGTGAGGAGTAAATGATGGGAGGCATCCACATGCTCAGCTGCTGATGATTTTATGGGCACCCAGCGCTCCGATCCCTCCCTCGGGAATCTCAGCCCTGGATTTCCCCCCTTTTCCCTCCCCCCACTCCATCTATTTTTTCCTTCCCTGGCACTGAAACTTTTCCATGGGGTGATTCCCGCTGGGAAAACGCTTCCAGGGGGTTATTTTGGTTTCAGGTTGGTTTGCTGGTTTGGGGTTTGTTTCTCTTTGGAGTGGTGATTTCCACGAGGTGGGAATCTGGGAATCTCGGATCCCAGGTGGATCCAGGCCTCGGATTGCATTCCCTGCGGGTTTATCCGGGAATCCCTTCCCTCAGGGAAACTCTTGGATGGTGCCCAGCTCAGGACCCTTTGGAATTGATCTCATCTCTTATTTTCCACCTCGTTAATCCCGTTTTCCTGAGATTTTCCCCTCACTTTTCCCTCCCTCAGCCCAACATTCCCACCCCGCTCCGGTTGCCCGTCAATGCTATCACACCCAGTTTGATTTTCCCTGGAAATCATCCCATTTCCAGGTCTCTCTTCCCTGGAAATCATCCCATTTCCAGGTCTCTTTTCCCTGGAAATCATCCCATTTCCAGGTCTCTTTTCCCTGGAAATCATCCCATTTCCAGGTCTCTTTTCCCTGGAAATCATCCCATTTCCAGGTCTCTCTTCCCTCTGGCTCGTCCTTGGGAACCAGGAGTGGACGTGGCCGCCGAGGTGGCTCCTCATTCCTCGGAGTTGGGAGAAGGAGCGTCTGTTTTCCTGCACAATTCCATCTGCACCCCTGGTTTGTCGTGGAATCCGAAGCTGGCGGAGTTCCCATCCTTGGAATTGCTCGGAGCGAGCTGGGATAGTGGAAGGTGTCACTTCCCAACAGGAATGGGGTTGGAAATTCCCTTCCCACCCAACCCATTCCATGATTTCACGGTGAAAATCCTCCCTCCATCCCCATTTTTAGGTGGTTTTGGCCCCATCCTGATTTTGGGATTGGGGAATTCTGTCGGTATCCGGTGGCTCTTTGGGGAATAATCTGTTTATACGTTAAGAGGAGAAATATTTGGCTTTGGGAATTCTGGAATTCATCCTTCCTTGGCTGGATGTTTTCGTGGCCATGGGGGGGCTTTGCTACAGATCCGAAGTTTTCAGGGATGGAGCTGGGTTGGGAGTGAAATAGGAAGGGAAGGAAATGCAGGGAAAAAAATATGGGGGAAAAAAATACAGGAAAAGGAAATGCAGGGAAAAATATGGGAGAAAAATACAGGGAAAAAATATCAGGAAAAAGAAATGCAGGGAAAAATATGGGAGAAAAATACAGGGAAAAATATGGGAGAAAAATACAGGGAAAAAAATACCAGGAAAAAAATATGGGAGAAAAATACAGGGGAAAAAAATACCAGGAAAAAGAAATGCAGGAAAAAATATGGGAGAAAAATACAGGAAAAAGAAATGCAGGGAAAAATATGGGAGAAAAATACAGGGGAAAAAAATACCAGGAAAAAGAAATGCAGGAAAAAATATGGGAGAAAAATACAGGGAAAAAATTACAGGAAAAAATACAGGAAAAAATACAGGATAAATATTGGAAAAAGTAGAGGGGAAAAATGAAGGGAAAAAAGGACAGGAAAAGAAATACTGGGAAAAAATTACAGGAAAAATACAGGGGAAAGAAATACAGGAAAAAACAGGAAAAAAATAGAGGGGGGAAAAATACAGGAAAAATATAGGAAAAAAATAGAGAGGGAAAAATAATGCAGGGAAAGAAATACAGGGAAAAATACAAGGAAAAAATACAAGGAAAAAATACAGGAAAAAGAAATACAGGGAAAAAAAACAGGGAAAAATAGAGGGGAAAAAATACAGGAAAAAGAAATACAGGGAAAAAAAACAGGGAAAAATAGAGGGGAAAAAATACAGGATAAAGAAATACAGGGAAAAAACCAGGGAAAAATACAAGGAAAAAATACAGGAAAAAGAAATACAGGGAAAAAAAAACCAGGGAAAAATAGAGGGGAGAAAATACAGGAAAAAGAAATACAGGGGAAAAAAAATAGGGGGAAAAAATACAGGATAAAGAAATACAGGGAAAAAAACAGGGAAAAATACAGGGAAAAAATACAGGAAAAAGAAATACAGGAAAAAAAACAGGGAAAAATACAGGGAAAAAATACAGGAAAAAGAAATACAGGGAAAAAAAAACCAGGGAAAAATACAGGGAAAAAATACAGGAAAAAGAAATACAGGGAAAAAAAAACCAGGGAAAAATAGAGGGGAAAAATACAGGGAAAGAAATACAGGGAAAAAACCCAGGGAAAAATACAGGAAAAGAAATACAGGAAAAAACATGGGAAAATAGAGGAAAAATACAGGAAAAGAAATACAGGAAAAAGAAATACAGGAAAATACAGGAAGAAATACAGGGAAAAAAACAGGGAAAAAATACAGGAAAAAGAAATACAGGGAAAAAAAAACAGGGAAAAATAGAGAGGAAAAAATACAGGAAAAAGAAATACAGGGAAAAAAACAGGGGAAAAAATACAGGAAAAAGAAATACAGGGAAAAAAAGCAGGGAAAAATAGAAGGAAAAAATACAGGAAAAGAAATACAGGGAAAAAAACAGGGAAAAATACAAGGAAAAATACAGGAAAAAGAAATACAGGGAAAAAAAACAGAGAAAAATAGAGGGGAAAAAATACAGGAAAAAGAAATACAGGGAAAAAAAAACAGGGAAAAATAGAGGGGAAAAATGCAGGGAAAGAAATACAGGGAAAAAACCCAGGGAAAAAATACAGGAAAAAGAAATACAGGGAAAAAAACAGGGAAAAATAGAGGGGAAAAATACAGGAAAAAGAAATACAGGGAAAAAAACCAGGGAAAAATACAAGGAAAAAATACAGGAAAAAGAAATACAGGGAAAAAAAACAGGGAAAAATACAAGGAAAAAATACAGGAAAAAGAAATACAGGGAAAAACAGGGAAAAATAGAGAGGGAAAAATACAGGAAAAGAAATACAGGGAAAAAAAACAGGGAAAAATACAAGGAAAAAATACAGGAAAAAGAAATACAGGGAAAAAAACCAGGGAAAAATACAAGGAAAAAATACAGGAAAAAGAAATACAGGGGAAAAAAAAAAACAGGGAAAAATACAAGGAAAAATACAGGAAAAAGAAATACAGGGAAAAAAACCAGGGAAAAATAGAGAGGAAAAAATACAGGAAAAAGAAATACAGGGAAAAAAAACAGGGAAAAATAGAGGGGAAAAATACAGGAAAAAGAAATACAGGGAAAAAAACCAGGGAAAAATACAAGAAAAATACAGGAAAAAGAAATACAGGGAAAAAACCAGGGAAAAATAGAGAGGAAAAAATACAGGAAAAAGAAATACAGGAAAAAGAAATACAGGGAAAAAAAACAGGGAAAAATACAAGGAAAAAATACAGGAAAAAGAAATACAGGGAAAAAAACCAGGGAAAAATACAAGGAAAAAATACAGGAAAAAGAAATACAGGGAAAAAAGAAATACAGGGAAAAAAACCAGGGGAAAATACAAGGAAAAATACAGGAAAAAGAAATACAGGGAAAAAAAACAGGGAAAAATAGAGGGGAAAAAATACAGGAAAAAGAAATACAGGGAAAAAAGAAGAAAAAAAAAACAGGAAAAAAAAAACCAGGAAAAAAATTCCAGGGATGGGAGGGGATCCATAAATTCTCTGGGCAACCCTCCCAGGGCAGAATTCCTTCCCAATATCCCATTTTTCCCGCTTGGGAAGGAATATTGGGATAATGGAGTATCCCATCTAAGCCTCCTCTTCTCTCTCTTTCCACCTTTTCCTTTCCTTTTTCCCTGTTTTTCTCTCTCTTTCCACCTTTTCCTTTCCTTTTTCCCTGTTTTTCTCTCTCTTTCCACCTTTTTCCTTTCCTTTTTCCCTGTTTTTCTCTCTCTTTCCACCTTTTCCTTTCCTTTTTCCCTGTTTTTCTCTCTCTTTCCACCTTTTCCTTTCCTTTTTCCCTGTTTTTCTCTCTCTTTCCACCTTTTCCTTTCCTTTTTCCCTGTTTTTTCTCTGTCTTTCCACCTTTTCCTTTCCTTTTTCCCTGTTTTTTCTCTGTCTTTCCACCTTTTCCTTTTCTTTTTCCCTGTTTTTTCTCTGTCCTTTCCACCTTTTCCTTTCCTTTTTCCCTGTTTTTTCTCTGTCCTTCCACCTTTTCCTTTCCTTTTTTCCCTGTTTTTCTCTCTCTTTCCACCTTTTCCTTTCCTTTTTCCCTGTTTTTCTCTGTCTTTCCACCTTTTCCTTTCCTTTTTCCCTGTTTTTCTCTGTCTTTCCACCTTTTCCTTTCCTTTTTCCCTGTTTTTCTCTCTCTTTCCACCTTTTCCTTTCCTTTTTCCCTGTTTTTCTCTCTCTTTCCACCTTTTCCTTTCTTTTTTCCCTGTTTTTCTCTCTCTTTCCACCTTTTCCTTTCCTTTTTCCCCTGTTTTCTCTCTCTTTCCACCTTTCCTTTCCTTTTTCCCTGTTTTTCTCTGTCTTTCCACCTTTTCCTTTCCTCCTGTTTTTTCTCTTCTTTTCCCACCTCCTGAAGCGCCTGTCGCCGTTCCCTTCCCGCTTGGAATCACCGGGGCGGATAATCGGAGTGTGAGCACCAGGATTCCCCAAATCCCATCCTGGCAGATGCTCAACTCCCTGGAAAAACCTTGGGGGGCTTTCTCAGTTCCGCTCTTTGCTTCCTGTCCTTTCCCAAATCCCAAATTTCCCCTCTTAGGTTTGACTTTTCCCCCCATCCCGCTGAACGTTCCCATTTTTTCCACCCTGGCAAATTCCAGCTGGAAATTCCTATCCCCACACCCCCCCTGGGCTGAGCTGAGCAAAGTTGTTCATTCCAGGACTCTCCCCAAGCCATAAATCCAGGGAATATTCCCCAGGAACGCGGAGCAGAATCCTGGGAGAGAGAGGAGGATTCCGTGGCTTCCTCATCTCCCAGCTCTCCCAAAACTCCGCTGCTCCAGCAGATTTCACGGAGCCGAGGTTTTATGGGATCAAGGGACTCGTTTGTCTCGCTTGCCAACGGGAATTTTGCTGTTTCTTCCCCCCCTGGGAAGTTTAAATTCAGGGAATGTTTCCCGCATTCCGGCTTGGATTCTACTCCGGGCTCGGTCGGGGTTTGTGTGGATTGGGGGGAGGGGCTGGCTCCGTTCCTGGAGTTGATCCCAAGTGTTCCTGGAGTTGATCCCACGTGTTCCCAGAGTTGATCCCAAGTGTTATCAGCTCCTTAAGCTGCCCTGGGGGGGGTTCTCCGGTGGAAAAGGGCATGGGAATATTTGGAGACGCCGGCTGGGCCGGGAACTCCGCTCGGGGTTGGGATGGAGGAGCTCCGGCTGTTCCTCCCGGTGCTGGGAATTGTCCTGGGATGGATTGTCCTTGGCTGGCGCTCAGGGGGCTCAGATAAGTTGGGAGTGGGTGGGATGAGCTCTGGAATTTTTGGTTTGTCCTCCAGAATCGTGGAATGGTTGGGGTTGGATTGGAAGAGGGCTTAAAGATTGTGGAATTCCACTCCCGACACCTCCCACTATCCCAGGGTGCTCCAACCTGCCTTTGGATACTTCCAGGGATCCAGGGGCAGCCACAGCTTCTCTGGGAATTCCAGCCCAGCCCCTCCCCACCCTCCCAGCCAGGAATTCCATCCCAATATCCCACCTAACCCTGGGAATTCATTCCCTGTGTCCCATCCCTCCATCCCTCATCCCAAATCCCTCTCCAGCTCTCCTGGAGCCCCTTCAGGCCCTGGAAGTTGCTCCAAGATTTCCCTGGATCCTTCCCTTCTCCAGGTGAACATTCCCAGCTCTCCCAGCCTGGCTCCAGAGCTGAGGTTCTCCAGCCCTTGGAGCATCTCCATGGGCCTCCTCTGGAATTTCTCCAGCATTCCAGGTGGGATCTCACCTGAACGGTGCAGAGGGAGAGAATTCTCCCCTTTCCTCCTGCTTCCCACGCCGTGGGATGAGCTCAGGACAGGGGGAATTCCAGGATTCACGTGGAGCTTCTCCCCCACCAAATCCTTCCCAGGGCTCTTCCCAATCCATCCTTCATCCAGCTCAACAATTTGGGATGGCAAGGACACGCTGGAATCCCGAGGCTTAAACAGGAACAGCGTCCCAACCTGCTTTTCTTGGGAAAAACGATATCCATGAACCCTTTTCCTTTGGAACAAGAGCCTGGATAACGTTCATTCCCGGTGGGCCTTAATTTGGGAATGAGGGGTGGCCTTAATTTAGGGAATACTTTCCTATGGGTGGCCTTAATTTAGGGAATTCTTTCCCTGTTATCAGGAATCCAGGTGCTGTGTTTGGAATGATGAGTGGCCTTAATTTAGGGAATTCTTTCCCTGTTATCAGGAATCCAGGTGCTGTGTTTGGGAATGATGGGTGGCCTTAATTTAGGGAATACTTTCCTATGGGTGGCCTTAATTTAGGGAATTCTTTCCCTGTTATCAGGAATCCTGGTGCTGTGTTTGGAATGATGAGTGGCCTTAATTTAGGGAATTCTTTCCCTGTTATCAGGAATCCAGGTGCTGTGTTTGGAATGATGAGTGGCCTTAATTTAGGGAATTCTTTCCCTGTTATCAGGAATCCAGGTGCTGTGTTTGGAATGATGAGTGGCCTTAATTTAGGGAATACTTTCCT